GCAGTGCAGACGCCCCCCGCGCCCCCCCCACCAACCTACCAGCCGCCGCTCGCCTCCCCCCCGGCCGCTGCTGCCACTGCCGCGCCCTAACCACCAACCAGCCGCTGCTGGCCTCCCCCCGGCCGCTGCTGCCGCTGGCGCTGATTGGGCCGGCAGGCTGGCAGAAGCCCCGGGGATTGGCTCCCTGCCTGCCTGCCTCGCCACATGGGCCCCGCCAGGCCTGGGCAGCACAGCGCTCCCCTTGGCCCCCTTCCCCCGCCCTTCTTGCCCTGGCCGGGCTGCGGGCAACGAGAGGCTGCTGGCAGCCGCCCCTGCCTCTCCTCCCGAGCCCTAACAGCCGGCTCACGCTCTGGGCAAAGGCCTAGTTCGCCTAGCGGGCAAGCCGGCCCTGCATACCATTTACAAATTAACCCCAGAAGCCTTTTCTCTACCATTGTTTTGCCCAGTTCAGCCCAAATATGACATCTTGGGACTGAATGTAAGGCTGCCCAAAGATCCATATATGCTTCATAGAAATGGCGTCCAGGGAAGGAGGATATTTGTCAGCTAAAGGGTACAGTGTGAGACAGTGAAACACCTCTCCTCAGTCCTGCTTGTTCCAGATACCATATAGACCCCACTCTCCCCAGGTCAGCAGCTTGGAATACAAAAAGGCTCCATATACCTTGGAAATTGCTGATAGGAAGCTAAGGAACTGATTGCAGGATTGTTGACCCCTTTTATGTATAGAGGAACTATTCTTGCATGCTTCCATGGGGCAGGGAGAATCCCATAAATTTAATTTGGGTCAAAAGAAGGGCCAGCCATTGGCTTTCTAAAGATCAACTGCTATGAAATCAGGTCCAGGGGCCTTGCCTGCTCCCATTTGCTTAATTGGAGAGCCTACTGTCTCAGGGAGAACGGTGTCATGAGTCATTGGGGGGTGGGGGGCTCAACCAGAACCCATTCATGGTCAGATCCAGGGGCCTAAGCAAAGATAGAGGTCAAATGATTTTCCCAGGTCCCGGGACCAATCCATGATGGAATCCTGGACACTACAGAAAGGTGATTATGAACATGTTCCAAATGGTCCATGATGCAGTATGATCGATCACGGAGAGAAGAATCTTGCATTTTGTCCATAAAACAAGCCACTTTTAATGGTTTATCAAAGTTCTGGAAGCACACTTCAATGATATGAGATCTGATAAATGAACCTGTTGGTTAGTGTGTTTTAAAAGATTATGTTTAGCCCTATTTCTCCTGATATTTTCTCTGCACTCATCAACAAACCAAGTATTTCTTCTCACAGTCCTACCAGTCGCTGACAGTTTTGTTCGGACTGGCTTGACAAGACCCACCATTCTACTTCATGCTGCTATCATTCCTACAGTATCCCCCTTTCTCGTAGATTCCATCAGCAGGAGCCTACAGTCCCTGGAATGCCTTTGGATAGGGGAAAAGAACCAGTCAGCTGGCCCTCTGGTCCGCAACCAATTTGTGTTATCTGATTCTCATATCATTTACAAACTTACCCAAGAAGCCTTTTCTCTACCATTGATTTGCCCAGTTCAGCTTTATAGATTCATCTTGATGACCACCTACCAGGGCTCAGGGTTTTTCCTCCTTACAGTAGCTCAGTCGAGGGACTGGATGACAACCAGCAATGCGGTAAGAGTGAAAGAACACGCAAAAAAAATGACCACATCCACAAATAGTCACCCACCCTCAGGTCACAGATCTGAGGTATCTATCCCAGAGAGCAGCACATAGGCAATGTCACTTGCAACTTTATGTGTCGCACAGGTGGGAATCACCTACATGGTCTAATTCTCTCTATCCATTTAAAATCACTATGCCAGGTTAAGATGTACAATTAAATAGGTGTTTGTCAGCAATATTCACCTTAGGGTCTAAGCATTCCTTTTCAAATGGATAAGCCCTTTTCATCCCTGTGAAGAAATGCCTTTTCTCCTGGGCAGTTGGCAAGCAACAGGCCTCCACTGGACTCTTTAAAAAGCTTCTGAGCTAAGAACAAGCAGGAAGCAGAGAGGAGATTAGTCTATGGCATTCCAGGTATAGCAGAGAGAAACAGAGGATTTGTGTTTTATCCAT